GCCTGCCGTCGATGCTTTGTGCCATGCCCGAGCCGCCGTAGTGTTCGTTGGCATGCTTCCAGTACCTGTCCTTGACAGTTTGGTCGACGTCCTTGAGCAGTGCCTCTGGTATGTCGACGGCGTTCCCCGTGAGGTCTCTGGGGTCAAAATGCCAGGTGATCTGATCGGTGTCATTCGGGGCAGCTGGTGGTAGTTCCCATCTGTTAGCGGGATGAGCTTGTCAGTTTTGCTCCATCAGCATAACATACTAGTCGACAGTGGGCCTCGTACGTGCCGTGCCCGCTGCGCTGGTGGAGGCTGGCCGACATGGTCCATGGCCTTGGCTCAAGTGAAGTGGATGGTCTTCTGTGTGGCCCCCGTCTGGATCCACATGGTGCGCCACTGCTGGATGGCCTCCCGTGAGAAGCGTCAGGCTGGGTCCTTGCCGTGCGCCTCGAGGTCCAGCGGCGTCGCGAGATATCTCCCTTGGAGCCGAGTCCGAGGGCGCCGCCAAGGCGGCGGCGGAAGGTCGCCATGTGCAGTCCGAAGACTCCGCGGATCTGGTGGCCGTACCCTCCAACGGCTTGGCCCCCCCTGCTCGGCGAGGCGGCAGTGCCCTGGCGGCGCCGCGTGGCCCTGGCGAGCCTCGCGATCTCGCGGTGCATGAGGCCGCAGCGAGCCCTCCGCTGAGCGCGGGCGGCCTGGGCGCGTCAGGCTCCGGCGCCAGGGTCGGCCCCCGAGGAGCCGGCCTGGGCCGTGGAGAGGGCCTGGGCTCCTTGGCGCCCCAGCCGCGCACGACGCAGCGAGCGTCGCCCATGTGCGGGCACAGGAGGATGCTCTCCTTGGCGACGTGGATGCCCTCGGCGCGGAGCTCCGGGCAGGTGTCGAGGGGGCGCCGCAGGAGGAGCTGTCGCGCCGCTCGATGTGATCCTTGAGCGCGATGGGGGAGGTCGTCGATCCAGAGGCGGTGGTGGCGCTGCGGGTCGGCGACGGCGACCCTCTGGATTGCGCGGGTGGTCATGCACTTCGTGGATCTAGCTCCCGAGCGGAGCCCCTGGACCACGAGGTGCGTAGGTTGGAGCGGCAGGTAAAGCTGCCGCTCCGGGTGAGTGAGCCGTGGGGGGGCGATTCGCTGGAGGAGTTTCAGGCCCAAGGCTTCGGCGGGGACGTCCGGGTCCAAGCCCTCGCTTCCCAGGTCGGCCCATTGGATCGAATCGTAGAACTGAGAAATGTCCAGGAGGCAGTGGCCCTGTGGAGCATGAACATAACATACCCCGTGAGCTCGTCCTGCAAGGCCCCGGCGTAGGCCTCCTGGAGCGCGGAGTTCCCGCGGATGGCCACGCCCCAGTGAGCGAAACCTTCCGCGTTTCACTCGCGGATGGCGCCCTCGCAGCACGTGGGCCAGGACGTGTGATCTCAAGCAGCAGCCTTGCGATGCGGTCGCCGCTGTACTTCTTGGCCCTCGTGTGGCGCCGAGGGTGAGAAGGAGCGGGTGCGGCCGCGCCTGGACCTGCTCCATGACGTGCAACAGGCGCGCGAGCTCCTCGAGGGCGTCGTCGGGGAGGCGCAGGAGGTCAATCGGGCTGATGCGGTCGACCCCCTGCGCGGTGGATGCACGCTGGCGCTTGAGCGCCTGTCGGGCGCCTCCTGTGGGCGGGGCGAGGCTGCCCTGCTCGTGTACCTTCGCTTGGGTCCTATGGAAACCTCAGGTAGGCCACCGATTCCATGGCCTTGAGGTGGCCGTCGCCGATGCCAACTGGCGACCTCGTGGGCGAGCAGCTCCACGGGGTGGGAGATCGTCTCCCTGGTGGAACGTATCGATATTGGTGGAGCGGGCTGTGGCTCCATCGACCGATGCAGCGTTATGAGGGCCCCGTCTGTCACAGCCCGCTCCAGGAAGTCGCGGGGGGACTTGCGCACTGCCCTCCGCTGCGCTCGGCTTGCGACTCCAGGAGCTGCTCAAGCAAGGAAGATGCTGTAGGTCTCCGCCGTGCAGATGTGCTGGAGAAGTCGTAGCCACTGAGTTCACTGGTATACGTCTCGTGCTCGAAATGCGCCTGCTGCTGATTGAGGCACCTCTTGGAGGTGTCGGTCCGTCGCCGCGCAGAGCTGGTCGAGCTGCTTCTGCCCGTTGCCCCTGGCGCGGTGGCGGTAGATGCGTTTCAGCGTGGTGTGTGGTCGTGTCCACCAGCCGTTGCTGCGGCCCCGTGAAGCTGATGCCCTTCGGGTCGGGGCTTCGCGCGCTGGAACCATTCGGAAATTGGGCCCTCGCGATCGTGGTGGTTTCCACCGCGGCAATCCAAGCACTGTAGAATTCGCCAAGCACGCTTGAAAGGTCAGGCCAGGCTGGAGCCAAGCGGCCACTGAGGTAGCAGTAGCAGCAGTGGGAGCGCAGGAGCGAAGCTCCAGGTGCCCACTGTGTGCTCTCTACTCGTGCCATACATCGCTAGGAATTTCAAAGCTTGGCAGGCATGCCGTTGGGGCCCTGCTGGGGCGTCCCACGGATTCACCGAAACCAACTTCAGAGCGAGACAGCGGGGCATCCGATTCCTTCCCCTGGTTCTGAGCAGGCACGGGGGGTCTGTCGCGCTGGCTGGCTGAATTGTTGTCATCATTTGGCTGAGCAGGGCTTGCAAGGTTCAACTGATCAACATCCAACTGGCCACGCATGCTGTATCAAGGGCTCCCTCGAGGGCGCGAAGTTATTCGCGCTTCGCGGTCCTCGTTCCTTCTCCCCCTCCTCCTCGTCCTCCTATTCTCCCTTTGGGAGGGCGGCGCGAGAGCGCGAAGTTATTCGCGCTTCGCGCTTCGCGCAGCGCGAAGCGCGAAGTTGGGAGCCCTAGTGTATATAGACGATCGACCTGGCTCACTTTCGAGATTTTCACGGGCACTGCCCTCGGTGGCGGCCCTCTGCGCGGCGATGCCAGCGGCGGAGCAGCGGGCCGCCTCGGCCTCGAGCTGCTCGAGGTCCTCGGCGGTCCTGGGCTCCGCGGTGGGCTCCGCGGCCGCGGCGGCGCCCGCGGCGTCCGCGGCCGCGCCGCTGTCAGCGGCAGGCTCTGGCGCGGTGGGCGCGGTGGGCCAGTCGTCGCTTCTGCGCTTCTTCTTGAGGCGCTCCTCCGGCTGGCGTCGCGCGGCCTGGGCGCGGTCGATCAGCGCCCGGGCCTGCTGCTCCCTGGTGCCGAACTGCCTCCAGGGCCCCTGCAGGCCCTGCTGGGCCGCCTCGAGCTCCTGGCGTTCAGCTTGCTCGAAATCCAGGTTCACGATGTCCCAGGCGACTGAGAAGACTGGCCCCGTGGACTCGGCGGAGGTGGTTTCGGCGCTCTTGGTGACGCCCCCGCCTCCGCGAGTGCCGCCGCCTTCTTCTCCTCCTTCTCCTTCTTCTTGTTCATGGTCTCGGCGCGGGCGACCCTCGAGGCTGCCTCGGACTCCTTGCCTTCGACCACATGGGGGCTCTCCTTCAACTTGAGAGTGCTATTGACCAGCTGGGCGTGTCCGTTGCCCGCCGCACGGTGCGCTCCGCCGGGCCCGCTTCATGGCTCGCACCGTTGTCGGCGGTGCAGGCTGGGTGTCCTCCTGCTACGCAGCGATCCTGGTGATCTGCGCCGGGAGGATGCCTCGGAGCTCGGGGGCCCCGCGTCTCGGCAGGCACGAGCCGCAGGCGGCTGGTGATGCCCGCGGTCTTCCTGGGGACGGAGCTCTGGCGCCCTCGTCCTGCCGTGGAGCTCGGGTGTGCTGGGCGGACGACTTCCGCGGGCTCGAAAGATCTGGTTGGTGACAGGGGCCCAGGGAGGTGGAGGCGAACTCGACGATTGCACGTGCTGCTGCAAGTCGGGTTGGCATTCTCGAGCCTATCGTTATATTCGCATGTGCCGCATGAGCCTCAGCTTCAGCTATCGCCAAGGTCGGCTGACTGGTGTGGTCGTTGTGCCGATACGTCTAAAGCGCCGCGTGGAAGCGCTGATGCGCCCATGCCAACAAAGGTATGAGCTTGAATGGCTTGAAGAGGAGGGAGGAGGAGGAGGAGGAGGAGGAGGAGGAGGAGGAGGAGGAGGAGGAGGAGGAGGAGGAGGAGGAGGAGGAGGAGGAGGAGGAGGAGGAGGAGGAGGAGGAGGAGGAGGAGGAGGAGGCGGAGGAGGAGGAGGCGGAGGGGGAGGAGGAGGAGGAGGAGGAGGAGGAGGAGGAGGAGGAAACGGAAAAGGAGGAGGAGGAGGCGGAGGAGGAGGAGGAAGAGGAGGAGGAGGAGGAGGTGGAGGAGGAGGAGGTGGAGGGGGAGAGGAGGAGGAGGAGGAGGAGGAGGAGGAAGACGAGGAAAAGGAGGAGAAGGAGGAGAAGGAGGAAGCGGAGGAATATCTTGAAAAATGAGTTGGAGATGTCTCTTTCTTGTTATCCTCCTCCTCGTCTTCGTCTCCCTCTTCTTCCCCACCCAGAGATTCGATACCTTGTTGATGTGGTCATTCAGTGTCCCTGGACCCCGCATTGAACAGTCCGATATATTATGTCCTCGGGGTTCAGGCGAGGGCCCAGGGAGGCCGAGAGAATGATGCAGCACCTCCGCCTGAATTGTGCCAGTACGTCACAGGTCTAGCTATGCGCGCGCGCTCGCCTGGCGGTGCGCACAGGGGGGTCGCTCGAGGGGGGCGGCACTTGGAGAAGACGGGGGCCCTCTCATCAAGCAGCCGGGAGGCGTCCAAGAAGGTCCATTGGGCCCTTGGAGGCCACGATGGCTTCCATGAGGCCGCCTGCCTTCCATGCCCCCCGCCCCACCCTCCCCCCGCTTCCTTGGAAGGCCGCACCCCTTGTGCCACCCCCGCTTGTGCGCGCCGCGTAGGCACACGCGCACCTTTTTCTTCCGCCAGACCAGGGGGTGGCACCATCGCGAGTGATGGCAAGAGGTGCGAGCTACCGCGTGGATTTCACTCAGCGCAGTAGGTGGCGGACTGCGTGAGGACCCAATTTGGTCGGCGGGCAGACCGAACCTGCAGGGTGGCCGAGGCACGCACACCACCCCGCGCGCCCGGCAGGTTCCTGCGGTGGAGCGACGGCGCCGTGCAGGACGCCGCAGGGGCCGCCGCGCCCCTCCTCGCCCGTGCCTTGCGCCCCCCTCAAGGGGAGGCTGGCGCCCCCCCACGCCTCGGCGTGCACCCTCCTCGGCCTCCCTCCTCTCTGCCTCCGCCTCCCTCCCTCCTCGTCGTCCCTCCCACTCTGCCCCACCATCAGACGCGTCGGTAATTAGGCCGGGCGGGCCGCACGTTTCGCCCGGGACTTCCGTGCATCTTTGATCCTCAGGTTGAGAGCTCGTCGTTTTCAAGCTGCGGCTCTCGCCTTCATCTGCAACGGTCACAAGGACGGTCGGGTGGTTTTCGAAATGCGTTTATCGCGTCAACGCCACGCATATTTTTTCAAATGTTGCAATAGTTTCAGCGGTTGAGGCTGATATGTCGGATTACAAGTTGCCAGCGGTTGCGTCTAGGAATGCAGACCGGCACGTTTTAAACATGCGATGTTCCTCATCGCGGCGCACATTTGATGTGCAAGTTTGCAGCAGGTAGCCACATCTACGGATAACGGATCCTTTTCAACATGTTGTTCTCGCTTGAGTTTTGTTATCACGTGACGACCAGCAGCTTCAGCATACTAAACGGCTGCACGGATGTAGGGCCGTGTCTCTTCAAAGTGTGGATCTTCGCTTGAGACTCCCTCACATCGAACCGCCACACGTGTGATCTCGTGCATCACTTAAACTATTGGGGGGCGGTGTCTTCTCGAAGTAGGGTGCTCGCTTGAGTGGCAAGCCCTTGTGGTGCTCTTCCTTCAAGGGTGTGCTTCTAACATCTGGCAGTGGAGTGGAAGGCTTGTGTGGACTTGTGAAGAGAGGACTTGGGACGGGCGGGTCTACTGCAGCATCGTTGATGCACCCTGGGTTTACCATGTTCCTCCTCCCCCTCCTCCTCCTCCTCCTCCTTCCGCCTCGTTCTCCCCCCCTATCGTCCTCGTCCTCATCCGCCTCTCCTCCCTCCTCCCCCTCTCCCCCCCTCCCCCTCTCCAGAATCGGGGTGCCTGCCCTCCTCCCCGAAGCTGGGAGGGCGTACGCGCCGAGCCCGAGCCCAGGCCCGGCCAGGAGCGGTGCCGGTGCCTGGCTGGCGCCCGCCGGAGCCCGCGCCGCGGGTGCGCCGGCGGTGCGGTGCGACCCTCGGGGCCCCGGCTGCCCGTGCCCAGGCCGGGCTGCCTCCACCGCCCGGGGGGTGCGGTGCGGAGGCCGCGGAGGTGTGCCGCGGCGTCGGGGGTGAGCGGCAGGCCGCGGGCCGACGAGCGTGCCCCGTCGCTCGGCATCGCTCGGGCATGCGCATTTTTTTTCTCGGCGAGGAGCATCGAGGAGCATCTTGGGTCATCGAGGAAGAAGGACACGCTCGACCACGAAGCATGCACGGGGAATGGACGTCCGAGCGATGGCAAGGTCGTGCCACCCGCCTCGGGCCGGGCTGGTGGCAGCCTCGAGTTTGGTCACCAGCGCCAAGAGACTGTCGAGGTTCCTGTGCGCGCTCTGGCGCGATCCCGTGGAGGCGCGGTCCCGTGGATGCGTTGCGCGCGGGGCATCCGCGCCAAGCCGCCTTGGCCGCGGACATGGACGTCTGTTCCCGCCCGCGAGGTAGGGCGAGAGCGGGGCCGAGGCGGGAGACAGCCGAGTGGGGTCGATGGCCGACGGCTCCTTCGGGTCGGGCGAACAGGGGGCGCAGGGGCCAGGACGTCGGCCACCGGGGGCAGGCATGGCCTGGGTTGGTGCCGGGCGGTGGCCGCTGTCTCTTTCCGGGCAGCGCTTGCTGCGTGACGTCGTCCCTACATTTTGGGGTTCGCAGAAGGGCGCTCTTGGCATTTGAGGCCCGCCACCGCGAAGCGAGGAGGGAAGAGGTTTGAGGTTCGAGGTGTTCGGAGGTCTTCGCTGATTGTTAGTTCAGCGCTTTCGCTCCCGAACAATACCAAGTCAGACCGTGCACCTCTGGTCTGGCAGCGCGCGGGGCGGCGCTTCTTGTGGACTCTTAGCGGCCTTTGGGCCAAAATGGGCGCGGTCCCCGCATGCGGCCTGTGCCACTGGGGCCTTCTGTGGAGCTCCCTGTGGGGCCACGAACCATGTTGTGAGGGTGTGCCAAAATGGGTGTCAGTCCCCGCGTGCGGCCTGTGCCATTGGGGCCTTCGGTGGAGCTCCCTGTGGGGCCACGAACCGTGTGAGGGGTGTGCCAAATTGGGTGAGGTCCCCCCGCAGGCGGCCTGTGCCACTGGGGCCTTCGGTGGAGCTCCCTGTGGGGCCACAAACCGCGTGAGGGGTGTGCCAAAATGGGCGCGGCCCCTGCATGCGGCCTGTGCCACTGGGGCCTTCTGTGAAGCTCCCTGTGGGGCCACGAACCGTGTGAGGGGTGTGCCAAAATGAGCGCGGTCCCCGCATGCGGCCTGTACAACTGGGACCTTCGGTGGAGCTCCCTGTGGGGCCACGAACCGTGTGAGGGGTGTGCCAGAATGGGTGGGATGATGCTGATGGTAACGACGAGGAGGAGGAGGAGGAGGAGGAGGAGGAGGAGGAGGAGGAGGAGAGGAGGAGGAAGAGGAGGAGGAGGAGGAGGAGGAGGAGGAGGAGGAGGAGGAAGGGGGAGGGGGCAGCGGGAGGAGGAGGATGTGACGCGGGGCGCTGTCCGTTCAAAACGAGAACCCAACAAGACAGGACGGTTGGGAAGAATACATGACGGGTGATCAAAGAACCAGGGGGGGGCTCCCCCCCGAAAAAAACTCGTTGAGGGAGGGGTCGGAAACCGGGGGAACCCCTCCCCCCCAACACCCCCCCCCTCTCCCCTGGACAACCCCCCCCTCCCCCTCCCCGAGCCCCCCGGGGGGGGGCGAACCCCCCCCCCCCCCCCCCTCCCCCCCCCAGCCCCCGCCCCCCTCCCCCCCCAACGACGACGACGACGACGACGACGACGACGAACGACGACGACGACGACGACGACGAACGACGACGACGACGACGACACGACACATTCTTGCGCTGGGGAAGTTCGAACCCCCCCCCGGGCCCAGGGGGGTTCGAACCGCCCCCCCCTGGAACTCGCCGCCGGCAAACGACGACGACGACGACGACGACGACGACGACGACGACGACGACGACGACGACGACACGACAACAAGACGACGACGCTGACGAATACGACGACGACGACGACGACGACGACGACGACGACGACGACGACGACGACGGGTGGACCCCATCGGACGGGTCGGACGGACCCTATCGGGCGGGTGGTCTGGGCGGGCGGGACACTACAGTCAGATGCGTATACAGCATGACGCATGAGAACCCTAACGGGCGGGTCGGCACGGGTGGACCCCTATCGGGCGGGTCGGGTCGGGCGGGCGAGTCACTAAAGTCTGATGCGTATACAGCGTGACATATGAAAGCCCTAACGGGCGGGTCGGACCGGGCGGACCCTATCGGGCGGGCGGGACATCAAAGTTTGATGCGTATACAACATGACACATGAGAACCCTAACGGGCGAGTCGGGCCGGGCGGACCCTATCGGGCGGGGCGGGGCGGGACAGGCGGACCCCATCGGGCGGGTCTGGCGGGCGGACCCTAACGGGCGGGTCGGGTCGGGCGGGCGGAACACTAAAGTTTGATGCGTAGACAGCATGACGCAATTAGAACCCTATCGGGCAGATCGGGGCGGGCGGATCCTATCGGGCGGGCGGGCGGGTCGGGTAGGGCGGGCGGGACATCAAAGTCTGATGCGTATACAGCGTGACACATGAGAACCCTAACGGGCGGGTCGGGCCGGGCGGACCCTATCGGGCGGGTCCCGGTCGGGCGGGCGGGACATTAAAGTCTGATACGAAAGCAGCATGACACCTGAGAACCCTAATGGGCGACCCAGGACGGGCGGACGCTATCGGGCGGGTCCGGACGGGCGGACCTTATCGGGCGGGTCGGGCGGGCGGACCCTATCGGGCGGGTCGGGTCGGGCGGGCGGGACACTAAAGTCTGATGCGTAAGCAGCACACCCCTTCACATGGTTCGTGGCCCCACAGGGAGCTCCACCGAAGGCCGCAGTGGCCACAGGCTGCATGCAGGGACCGCACCCATTTTGGCACACCCCTCACACGGTTCGTGGCCCGACGCCCCAGTGGCACAGGCCGCACGCGGGGACCGACATCCATTTTGGCACACCCCTCACACGGTTCGTGGCCTCACAGGGAGCTCCACCGAAGGCCCCAGTGGCACAGGCTGCATGCGGGGACCGCCACTCATTTTGGCACGCCCCTCACACGGTTCGTGGCCCCACAGGGAGCTCCAACGAAGGCCCCAGTGGCACAGGCCGCATGCAGGGGCCGCGCCCATTTTGGCACACCCTTCACACGGTTCGTGGCCCCACAGGGAGCTCCAACGAAGGCCCCAGTGGCACAGGCCGCATGCGGGGGGACCTCACCCAATTTGGCACACCCCTCACACGGTTGGTGGCCCCACAGGGAGCTCCAACGAAGGCCCCAGTGGCACAGGCCGCATGCGGAGACCGCCACCCATTTTGGCACACCCCTCACATGGTTCGTGGCCCCACAGGGAGCTCCACCGAAGGGCCCTAGTGGCACAGGCCGCATGCGGGGACCGCCACCCATTTTGGCACACCCTTCACACGGTTCGTGGCCCCACAGGCAGTTCCACCGAAGGGCCCAGTGGCACAGGCCGCACGCGGGGACTGCTACCCATTTTGGCACACCCCTCACACGGTTCGTGGCCCCACAGGGAGCTCCACCGAAAGCGGTACCCACAATGCGGTATTCGCAGCTGCAAATGGTTGGGTCTTTCGTCAGGCTAATCTTCAACACAGCCGCCGTGGATCGCGTTTCCTCTAACTTCAGAATAGCTGAAGCTTTAGCTTAGCTTCTTTCAAGCTCACGCGACGGATCAGCGGATTCTTCCCAAGGTGGGGTCCGGGACCAGGGAACTAAACCGGCAGGATGCTCATGTTTTCTTTGTCCAGGGTCTGTTTTTTCGAGGGGATCGAGGGCATAC